AAAAAAAAACTTTCTGGTAATATTTATTTTTATAAAAAAACTATTTCTGGTAATATTTTTTTCCAAATATGCATCGCTGGTAATACTTTTTTTTCAAAAATGTACTACTGGCGATAATTTTTCTTCAAAAAATTATTGCTGGCAATAATTTTTTCAAAGTATTTCCGTTTTTTTTTTCCAAAAAAGTATTGCTGGCAATATCTTTTCTTTTTTCTAAAAATGTATTGCCGTAATATCATTTCCTTCAAAAATGCACTGCTGGTAATATCTTTTTTTTTTTTAAATGTATTGCTGGTAATATCACTTCTTTTTCCAAAATGTATTGCTGGTACGATCTTTTTTTTTTTTTCAAGGCTTGGTTTGGTTTGGTTAGCTAAGTCAAAATTACAATGAACGAACATTATCTATGAGTTCAAATGCCTCTGATCAAACCGGACTCATAAATAATTGCATCGGTTACACAACTACATGCTTATCCAGACGTCTTACGTTTCACCTATTTCACAGCTCCATTAGAACTCATTTAAACACACACACAAATTTACCCGATTCCATTAGGAACATACTAGTAGAAAACAAAAATATATTAACTGCATCCACCTGTAAAAAAAAACTAAAAATAATGCAAGCCTTAATAATAAAAAAGAAAAGGCCAACTCTTAACAATATTAACTACGATCAAAGCCACAATGTGCTAACTGTATTCGGAAATAAAAAAAACACCCCTACCACACACTAAGACATACACATAACGCACACACTCAAGTAAGCTGAAAAATCGAAACATCCTTGATAATGGCTAAAGGTATAGCCGAAAGCGCTCGGAAATAAAAAAAAACAAAACATTTGGACAGTTCTTACACATCCATTGTCCAGAAAAGAAAGCTCTTGTTCGAACACAAGAAAAATTAAATAAAAAGCTTAACCGTAGTATCTTGTCTGTCGTTTTAATGAAACATGCATAAATGAAGGATTGCTGCCTAAATATACAATATATATATATATATATATATATATATATATATATATATATATATATATGGTGACGATCAAATGTAATGCACCCTTGATTTTTGTTCTTATACTTCAGGTGAATATCGTAAATGCTTAGGCTATCCTGAAGAAAAGAAGTTAATTTTTGTCCAGTTTCACACCTACGTGATTATCAGGTCGATATCGCTAACACTAGAAAGTAGCAGTTGCACATTAATTATTTTTCTTTTTACTATCACAGTAACTTTACGTGCTATTTTTTCAACGACGCCTCGCGATAGCAACTTATTTATATAACGGTTGTGTTTTTAGTATCATCACATTTAAAGAATAAAACTTAAGCTGATGAAAACGTGTTAAGTTAGTTTTGTCGTGATTTGGAACCATGGCCAGATTCTTCATGAATTTAAAGACGCTTTCATTAATCATCTATTTAAGCGAAAATAGAAAAAAATATTATGACACTCATCGGTGTATATTATTATCTGTGACAGGCAAGATAGCTGACTGAGTTATTCTCAACATAATTACTCAATTTGTAGATCATGTTTATCCTGAATCCCAGTGTAGTTTTATGAATGGGTGAAGAACCATAGATATAGATATTGCTCGTGACAGGTTCAAACAAAGTTCGGGTGAGTTATTTATGGTCGTTGTTGATTTAACTGAAGCATTTGGCATCGTTACTCGCTATGCTTTGTGGTCAGTGCTGAAAAAATTGGGATTCATGATACGAAGCCCAATCTCATAATATTCTTCCATGAAAAAATAAGTTTCTGTTAAGTTCATCGGATCCTTCGCCTGTTAAAAATTCAACAAAAGTAACGATATGTAATATCTGCTGTTTTATTTCCTATTTATTTTGATGTTAGAATATGCGTGCGATGATTATAGTATTATTATTATTATTATTATTATTATTATTATTATTATCAAAAATCAAGTCTAATAATTATTTAAATTATCAAATGGTAAATTGGATCGCCAAGCCTAGTGATCCTTTGGAAAGATGCGAGCAATAGTTTGAAATGAGAAGACTGAGTTTTAAAATATATGTTTATTGTACAGTTTTCATCCCAAAGTTACAGTATGGATATGAATCATGGACGCTGTATAGAAAATATATCATAAAGTTTATTAGGTACCTCCATGAGATCGCTAAAAAAGAGCATAGCATGATGAAAAAGACGCTAAACTTGACGAAAATAAAATTTTATCGTCTTAATGTTTTATGTTATTATTAAGAGGAAAGGTCAAAGTCTATTTTAATTAATTTTTAAAATTTTTCCTTCTTTTTAGAAAATTTTGAATTTTGATTTAAAAATTCTTGTTTCTCTTTGTATCACCGGAACTAGTAAAATAACATAGACAATTTTTAGCACTTTTTTTTTGTATAACACACATTAATTTGGAAAATCTTGCAAAAATAAAAATAATTGTCAGATGTTAATGAAACGTTCAGAAACTATTCACAGATGATCGAAATTATTATAAATATTTTTTTTTTATTAAAGTCATGGCAAAAATATTTTTTTATATTTATTACCCCCGACATAACTAATTTTATGAAAACTCTAGAAATTCGATCGAATCCAGTTTAGTGATTACAATAGTTAAAAGCACAAGGCTTTGAGGAATGCAAGTCATGTTTTCTTTTGTTTTTAATTGGACCCTCCCAACCTGAAACTCAGCTCTGAATTGTAACATACAAAACTCAATAAAACAAATGTATTATTTAATTTCAAAAGCTTTTATTTGCTTTTAGTTGTTTTTATGAATATGGACAATATTTTCTGAAAGCAAAAAAAGTTTTCGAGGAAAAATGAATTTTTAATACAATTATTTCTTATTTCTTTAATTTTAAAAAGATTTTTACATTTAAGTCGTTAAAATATTATAAAATTACTTAAAAGCCGCATCCACTTTTGTAAGAGATAGATCTTTTTTAGCGCGTTGTAAATTGTATCGTTTTGACTAATCAGAAGACCCGCAGTAACTAAGAAATGTAATTTTATGTTTATAATCGGGCGGTAATTATAAAGTACGGAAGACCAACCAGAATACAATTTAGTTGCATTATTTGAGTTCAGCATTGTTCTCCGCTGTTAAGGCCTTTACTTTTGCGAAACACGTATGGAGAAGTTAATTTGATTTTTCAATTTCAACTGAGAAGGGTATCTACAAGTATCAGTATCATCTTGTAAAATTTATATGATCTTTTTTTATATTAATTTCAGTTATAACATTTTTCCATAAATGAAATATCAAAATTAATAATAAAATGAATGGAAATACAAATAACACAGTAAAATGTAATAAATGTACATAAAATTATAGTATTTTATGTACACTTCTGATAAAATTTCATAAGAAAGGTACCTATAAATTAATTAGATACCTTTTTCTTATGAAATTTAATCTCACTCTTAACAGTTTTCTTTTAATTTCTTTATAATATATTTTCCATAAAGCATCGTAAACGTAAGGTGAACGCTAAGTACAAAAAACAAAAACAAAAAATTAGAGCGCTGAAAGTTTTCCTTAAAAATAACCAGGTAAATAATTAGTTCACTTAAATCTAAATAATTTCACTTTTCTCCTACCGTAGAACAAATTATCCTCACGTAATCCGTCAATACGTCATTCATCACCTGTCAAGTGACGCGAAAGGTTATGACCTGATTTGTTTTATTTTCAAACTACATCTTTTCGGCGCAGAAGCTAAGTTAAGCTTGGTTAAAAATATTTTAAATTAACATTATAATTTCTGATTTTCTTAAAATAAGTTTTGAAAAAATGATAATTGATTTCTAAAAGAATTTCAAACTGAGATTTTCATTTTTTTTATAAAATGGGAAAAATGGTTGTCATGATTGATTATCTGTCAATTTTGCTGACTCAAAAAAACAAGATTTTTAACGTAAATTTCGGACGTGATAGTTAACGATTAAAAAATGTAAAAAAATACCCCAAAATGCTTTGATCTTTCCTCTTAATAATAACATTTAGACGATAAAATTTTGTTTTCGTCAAGTTTGGCATCTTTTTTATCATGCTATGCTCTTTTTTAGCGATCTTATGGAGGTACCTAAGTTATATATTTTCCATAAGAGATATGTTAGAAATATATGTAGTTTCACAGGGAAAAACGCCGTCAAGTATGAGAACAAACATGTGTAATGAATTCTATATACAAATCATAAAGGCCTTGATGCAGTCTCCAAGGGGATTGGCCATGTTAGGATGGATGATAAAATACTTCCGAAAATTGCCATATATGGATAACTCCAGTATGGTATTATCCAACGTTAGATAAAATACATAGCCATCAATTTTCTAACTTTTCTGTCTCCGATGTTTTTTTTATTGAGCTCCCTGTCTCTGTTGTATTTTCGGTGGAAATAAATGAGAGGCATTATTTTTGGAGAATCCTTCATAAAATAAACATCTTTACAAATGTAAAGACATAAGACAAGAAAAATAGATAAATGTTAAGTCAGATTGGTAAACTGAGTAGGAATAATTCGATGTGAAAGAAAGGAAAGAGAATATGTCGTGTAGTTTAAGTACGTAACGTGCTAATAACTGTGCCAATTTCCTCTTCCTGGATGCGATCTTCTGTTTGTCAACATCTGTTGTGATAATGACGGCCAGTTTGACATTGCAATAGCATGAACACACCCGTGATGGTTGAATTTTATACATCATCTCTTTTGGGTGGTGCAGACAAGTTAAAACAACGATATCGATAATTAGAAAACAACTTAGTAAAAAGATCGATATTGATAAGAAGTAATGACAGGCAATTGTAATAATGTGAATTAGTAGCAAGTCTAACGGACTTTGGATAATAATGGTAATAATCCCTCGCTGAGGGAGTTCGTCACTGGCACCTCGAGGCAAAGGTCAGAGTATCTAATTTTCAAGGCTAGCAAAATCTCTATAGGGGATTAAATCTCCAACAACCTGTAAAGTACAGTTTGATAACCCACGTACAATAAGGCTTATGGCCGTGTCACGTTGAAACATCGGTTCTCTTACGATCACTGAAGTTAAGCAACGTCGAGCCTGGTTAATATTTAGATGGGTGAACAGTTGAGAATACCAGATTCTGTAAGCTTAGATGTACGACTGGTGTAATGGAAAACGGCTTGAAATTGGAAATCGGAAAGCAGAGTTCCAATTTCAATCGGGTTCGTTATATTCACTCACACGAAAATAACCTTGGGAAAGGTCAACATCTTCTCCTTCAGCTATGGGTTAATTAGTAAGACTTGTATCAGTAAATCATTTTCTGTGAAAAAATTCATATCTCTAAAAATATTTTCTGTCTTTAAATAAGCGGAAAATAGTTGATAGGCCGTAAAAAAGAAATCAATCCACGCACAGTAATTGTAGGAGGCACAGATAGTGTAACGATTATCGGCTCGGAAAGTGAATTCGGAGTGCCGAGTTCAATTCCAGGTCGATTCTGTTTGGTTCTTTTTTTTCACTAAGAGTGATGTGCCATGTTAGGTTATTTTGCTGAAGACATCTACCCTTGCAATCGTAAGGATAGCTCTGAATTCCAAACCGTGTAGATGTCAATTGGAATCTATTCCACTGACTTTCCCAAGAAATCATAGCAACTCACAGACAATAAAAATGAAATCCGTGGAGAGCCATGAACGCTCACGTCCTGAAGGGACATGCAATTTAAAGGTTTTCATTATTAAAATAATTATCATTATGACTATCGTGTTTACACAACATTTTTTAATTTTTGGATTTGTTTCGATACTAACATCAAGATGATTATTATTATTATTACTACTACTACTACTACTACTACTACTAGTAGTAGTAGTAGTAGTAGTAGTATTGTTGTTGTTGTCGTCGTCATCGTCATAACCATCATCTAGTTTTCTTGTCAATGGTTTACTGCTGGTTCATACTGTATGGGCAAGATTCTTCAATTCTTCAGCATCCTCCTCAGTATCTTAATTGCTTTATGCACTCGATAATAATAAAGAAACAAATCTGAGGAGGGACATGACACTAAAAAATAATCAAATAATAACCTTGTATTTTGTTATTATTTTTTATTTTTTGTAATTTTGTAAATAGACGTTTCCTTTATCATTCGGCTTCTTTGTCTGTTATTTGTGCAATTATTAGTTTGCAACACATTGCCATTCAGTCATTGTTATCGTTGTGTTTAGAGTCCACGAACAATATGTATTGCAGCAACGTATCTTTCCGTTCTCAATTCTATTTTGCCAGAATTATCATTCTTATTTAGAATGAAGAGTTCAAAGATTGAGGGGCAGAATTTCAGCAAATGACTTTTACGTTATAAAACGTCGAGGAAATTTAAACCCTAACTTACCAACATAGGACAGCTCGCGGAATATTAATAATACTGAAATTCACCCAGTATCAAACCCGAGAGCCACTCAAGGTAGATGATTACTATTTAAAATGAATGAGGTGTGTAATATAAATGAAAGAGCAGATCGCAGAAAGTAAAGATTATAAAGATGAGGTGGAAAGATAAAGATTGACTGTTTACTTGAAGCGGTTAAGTTTGTATCGCTCAGGGGAGCATTCAAGCCTGAGTCTGTTCCGTAAAGTAGCAGTTTTTGGGAAGCTTTCTTTTGGTATTATGTATCTACATGTATTTAAATTGTATTCGAATTATAATCTGGATTTTATTTGCAGTAACACTAACAGATGTAATTGTAGTAAGAGCCAATTACTCTTCTTACTATAATGAATGGGACCAATTCATTCATGATAAATAATCCTGGATAACTGTATAGCGGGAAAGAAAAAGAAGATAATGCTATTTCAGTGACCATGTTTGAATTATTCAGATGTGCTTTTGCTTGTGTAATGGCAAAAAAATGAGTTCATTTTTGTATCTCGTCTACGGATTGTACAGTGTTGTATCAGTCTTTCTTTTTTTGTGTTTTATACTTTTGTTTTTGTGAACGTTCGTGTTACATTTGCTGGTGAAGTAACCCCTCCAGAATGGCTTAGTCTTCCCACAGCCACCGGAAATGACACCTTCTCTTGCGTCAGCATGGGCCGCTGAGAGGCCGAAAGAAAAGGAGTCCGGGGGACTACGCAGCACTTCGGGAAAAATATGCGCCCCATACTAAGGATAATGAATTTTTGACTATTTCCGAATCCCTGGATGCAGTGATCACCCGAACAATCTCCTTATCAACGGATGTGGTAACAAGACGGCTCATCGGTGTTGGAAGGGAGACCATGGAAGAGGGATTAAAAAGCTTCCCGATACACCCAAAATCCTCTCCAGGAGGTCCAATGCATTATGGGACATCCTGTTTGCCAAAGAGCACGACACAAGGAAACTGGCGGGCAATGTACGACTGAAAACGAAATATATGGGCACTCGGAGGACCAAAGTTTCGTTGCTTGGAATGCCCATGGATATAACAGAGGAGCACTTGGTGGCCTTTTTCTCCAAGTTTTGTCAGATTGAAGATCTTTCAGCAGTCTACAGTAAGACAGAAATAGCTACAGGAGATTTTGTACTGGAAATCACCATGACCAGTGAAAATTTTATGGCCATCCGAGATATACTGTCATGTCGAGGACTCAATATCTTGGTGATCATGAAAGGTCGTTGCCCTTCACTGTTGGTCCTGTAATGCGACAGGGCACTTGACAAAAACATGCCCCGCCAGAAAGGCGACACCGAAGTCAACAACTGCAGTAGCCAAACCGACAGCATCCAAGGAAACTGTGGAGGAGAATGTCTGGATAGTCTGCTAGTGAGTCCGGTGTTTGAAAGGAAGTTGTGAGGTAATGGAAAAAGTAGGATACCCTCAACCCTGCAGGATGTTTCACCAAGAAGACGACGAAGCAGCAGCCGAATGTGGAAAAGTAACAGCAGCGGAAAAAAGCATATCGAGACTCAAATCTAAATTATGTGAACCATTAGAAGATACAATAAATGCAGCGCTCAGAGCTGAGAATGAAATTAAGAACAAACTCTGAAATACCGTAAGTGATGTACCAGTAACGCTGGATGAAATTAAAATAAAAGCTTAGGTAGATACTTTTATTAAAGGAAAAAAAGAAGAAGCAAGTAAGATGGAAATTAAAAGAGAAAAAATAAAAATTAAATTGAAACTTGGGGTGTGAAAAATTTCACAATCTGCAATGAGGTCTGGTGAAAGAGTAATAATGCCTACATCTCTTCTGTCAACGCCACGCAGTTCACTGTTGAAGAGTTTGAAAGATTTTGTAAAACCTATGCGATACAGCATATCAAAACTGCCCCCTACCATTCATGATCAAATGGGCAAGCAGAAAGCTTCTGTGGTTCTTATGACGCTTTCGATGTAGACTCTGGCTCAGGTAGCTCCGGAAATCACACGCTCTAGTAAAAAAAAAAAAAAAAAAACAGCTTACAGAAGTGTTGATCTTAACTGAAAAAGAAAAAAAAAAAAAGTATAATTTTTGTAGGAAGTAAGTCTTAAAAGGCGGGGAGATGTGGTAAGAGCCATTAACCCTCCTTACTATCATGAAGGGATTAGTCCATTCATGATAAGTAGTACTGTGTAATTATATAAAGAATGCAGAAGATAATTGCAGTGACTTGTCTAAGTAAGCATTGAATACTACTATCATGACTGATTAGGGTTGCGTTAAGTGTTGCACCTTGCCAGACCCCACATCACAACAGTAATACATTTTTTTAAGTTATGCAATATTTTTGAGTAAAATTACTCAATATCACGGATAGAGCGCATGTAAACATAAAATAAAATTTATCAAAACAAGCATCTTAACTTTTAACATATATGATAGATCCAAGAACTAAAATAAGTACTTCTTTCTTACTTTGGTCCAGTTGAAATTGTATCTTGCAGCAACATCCATTTAAGGGATGTTTTTAGGTCTTCCCCGTGACAATGACAATTTCTTAAGACTTGCTCTGAAATCTATCATTTTTTGTTGCAAAATTTACATGGACGCTTAGGCAAAAATGTAACAAGGAAATAAAATAGTTGCTAAATATGGACTTGAGTTACGTAACAAGCATTGGGAAAATGTTTTCAATCGTTCACAGCGAATAGATGCGTTATAGCCAATAATTGGTTTGAAGAACGCACAAAGTATCATAAGCCAGATATTCTTCATTACCATCAAAAACGATTTAGAATGGTAGTTTTGCACAGCCAAACGTACCCAAGCGATAAATTGAGAACTGATCACCTCCTAGTTGTATGCAAACTTGCAACAATTAAAGTTAAACTACAATACAAAAAACAAAACAATCTAAAAAAGGCAATTGCAATTAAGAATAAGTACAAACATTTGAAACAAGTCAAAGTACAATACTTTAAGGGAAACACATAATGACACCATCACCAGGTGCCATCTTGAGTAAAAAAAGCTGATAAGTTAAAGTTAGACTAAATGTTAGAGAGACAACAGATAATACCAAGAATGGCGTAGAGATGCACAGAAAAGAGGGGTAGCAAAAGAGGAGTATCAAAAAAGGAGTAGCTCGATAGGAACTGTGCAAATATCCCAAAACTGCGGAACAAAAATATAGCAGGTATTCACGAATAGATGAATTTGTCCACTTTCGGCTATATAAAATCTATAATAATAATAATAATAATAATAATAATGTAAATACTAAAGTTACTACAGTATTAGAATGAATATATCGAAAAGCTCATCTCTAATAACAGCGAAGAGAAAACCACAATGCATAAATTAATGAAAAGATACACAGTATTAATTTCAATGTTAGACGTAGAGAAAGAAAGCTGCCAGACCAGAGGAAATTTTAATCGAAATGCTAACTTTACTCAAAAATATAATGTATGACAGTGGTGAAATACTGGAGGGTCTCAGTAGACTAGGATTATTTAAGTAGATTGGTCCACTCGTAAAAATGGATTTTAAAAAAATAATGTTTTTAGATTAGCATTTTAACACCTTACTTGCACACTGAAACTTAAAAAATTAAAAAATATTGATTAGTTATCGATTTATAAGGGGGTCCTTTCTTATAGGGGTACAGTGTAAAATTTATCCATGACTTTTTAATCTGTTAAGCTTAGGTAACTCTTTATTTTAAAATGCCA